ATGTGCATGTTAGTGTTCGCTTATGCACGAAACCCGAAGTGATGGCTCAAAATAATTAGGACAGCCAAAAAGAACGTCTGTTTTTTGTCATCTAGGTTTGATGAACCCCATCTCCCCCTTTCTACATTTAAGTTATAACCGGGGCCCCAGTCAAGTTACTTAGAATACACTTTTTTTGAAATTATTTTCCAGTCCGTCATAAACTGATATTGTTTAATTAATAATTTCACAGATAATAAGATTATTTTTGTTGAATGATTTTTATAGGTACACTCTTGCTCAAGAATTATTTTGAAATACATTTAGAATTAATCTCCTTACTTGTGATGAAATTCCTTACTTTTTGCACTCTAGTTACCTCATGGTTCTCATCTATCTGCCGTTATCTCCAAGGCCTTGCTACAGTCGACTCGTAGAAACCTAGCTGATCTGCCTTCGAATTTGCAGAATACTCATCATGATAAGCATGGAATCGGCACTGCCCATACCAACCTGGCATTGGACAGTATCTCCCATACTCTCTTTTACTTGGCTTTATTAAGAAACTCTGAGGTTATCAGAAGTTGTTATTTTGAACCAAATATTTGGCAACCAGCTAGTATGGACAGTCGGTGCTGTCGCCGCGTACTGTGCTGCTTAGCCCCAGCATCTTTATCTAGCCCTCGTGAACTTATGTACGGTTCCTTAGCTTCCAAGCCCTTAGGCCATCGCATGCTAACAATCGATGCTGCCCTGGTTTTTAAAGGTGAGTACGCCTTGCTTCATTTTCTCGCCTTGATTTCGTCCTCTTTTCGATCATAAGTTGAAGTGATTTACTTTGGGCTTGTTCCTGTTTCTTTGGCCCATTGCTTATGCCTCTCAATTCGGTTTCGGTATATAAGTCAGGTAGAAAGTTATCGCTCTTAATTAAGAGAAATGTTCACAACTTCTCGTACATATTTTTCGTATATAAGCAGTTTAGAGACTACCATTAAATCAGTTATATGCGAAGGATTGGTAGTAGAATTTTCCCGCAGTGGTATGACTAAAGCTGACGTTTCTATTTAATTTCAAATAGCCTTGCTTTCCCAAAAGTTGTTCTCATCCAAGAGGTACGGCAGTTTCGACCTCGCTCCGGTCTTATCAACAGCATGTGAGCTTGATACATTAATAGCTCAGTCACATTGAAACGAGTACCCTTTGGTCACAGGGCAGATGTGAATTTCAGGGAAGTCCAGGTATTTTCAATATCACATCCTTTGTTGGGATTGTCAACGAAGCAAAGGTATTTTTGCCATGAAAATCGACTACATTACTTATTTTTCGTGTCAAGCTCACATGCTGAACTCTCACAGTTCGATTCCTGCTGCTGGTGTTGATAAGACCGAGGTGAGGTCGAAACTGTAGTCCACCCTGGATGAGAACAACTTTTGGGAAAGCAAGGCTATGTGAAATTCAATG